AAACTCTCTTTCAAAATGGATTGGGAAATAAGATACTTCCATGACAAAGAACACCTGAGAAACTACATGAATACCAAACCAGCACTACAAGCAATTCTAAACAATATCCTAGAAAAAGGCAATGAAGGTAACAACACCATGAGGCCCAACAGAGCAAATCAAATAGGCAAGGCAAGAAACTAAAAGGAGAAGGTGAAAAAGTAAAAACAGTAAACAAAAGGCCATAACAGGACAATAATAAGTCAGCACATATCAGTTATAACCATCAATGTCAATGGCCTGAACTCACCAATCAAGAGAAATAGACCAGCAGAATGGAATAAGAAGCAAAATCCAACAATATATTGTATACAAGAAACACACCAATTGCAAAAAAAGCCCATAGACTGAAAGTGAAAGGATGGAAAACAATTCTCCATGTGACAGGAGCCCAGAAAAAAGGCAGGGGTAGCAATCTTATTTGCAGACAAAGTAAATTCCAAACCAAAACTGATTCTAGTAATATAGATGTAGGACAGTACTGTATCATACCTCGGTGAATGTAAAATGTCTTGTACCTGCTTTATGATACGTAGTAGTGACCATGCTTTATCAGAGCTATTTTTAATGATGTTACTCTAGAATGTTCTCTCTCCAGATGATGATTAAGATGCTAATAAAAAAAAATGGTGCCAGGTACCACAACAGCAACAGAACTTTGCTGTTTTCTGGGTATTATTCTTCTCTTTGTTTTTTTGTTTTAGTTTTTTTAATGGAGTGTGCTGAATGTCTATAATTTTGTTCAGATGACTGCAGAACCTGGAAAAGCTGTTGCTGCTATTGATGCATTACATACTGCTATTGTTGGTCTTTTTATATAAATAAAAAAAAAATATATATATATATATACATATATATAATTTGAATTTTTGGAAACTTTAACTGTGCTGTCGACTTTGGAAAAAGTTGTCCCAATTTACTGTGTTGAGTTGGCACTGTACAGAAATTAACAGCCATATTGGTCTAGAAATGTTCATTTTTTTTTTCCATTTCTACAGGGGTAATGCACTATATTAAATATGTAAGGTCATATCTACATGGGTTTGATTACAGAAACTAATAAAGTATTCTCTAAAAAATGAAAAAAAGAGAATAATATAAGACTACAAGAGCAAGAAGCAACTTAACTATGTTCAAGGACCACTTTCATCTTCAGAATTAGGGATTATTTTAATTTTACATCATTGCCTTTTCTCTTTTACTTTCCTTTTTAGTTTTATTTTAGGATTCCCTATTTTTAATGTTTATATAGAGATTTCTTTAAATGAAATACTGAATAGTTTCTCTGGTGGGAAAAACTATAATAGTACACGAGATCCTAATAAGATAATTAATAATGTGAAATAGGAAGTAAAGGGCTAAAGGTGTAGGGAAAATGGGAAGGGTGGGGGAAAAGGTAATAAGGGAGAGGAAAAAAATGAGAAAATGAAAAACTGGAAATAAAGTGTTTGTAAATGGGGAAGGGAGGAGGGGATGAAGGGAGGGCAGGGACAAGGGGAAATAATGAGAATCAAGACCTATCATGTAAAGGTACAGGATCCCAATAATGCATGTAATTGTATTGTATACCTAGATTGTACCAATAAACTCAATAAAAATTTTTTTTAAAGGAGCATATAAAGCCAAAAAGTGATTCCTTAAAAATACTACAAGATGAACAAGATCCCAATAATGAATGTAACTGTACTGTACCAATAAACCCAATAACTAGAATGTACCAATAAACTCAATTAAAAAGAAAAAAATACTGCAAGATGAGAGTGACAAGACAGACATCACAGTAAATCTTACAAACTTGAAATGTAAGAAGACACTGTAATTATATAATTTTATACCAATAAATGTAAATTATAGCTAAAACTGTCAAATTCCTTGAAAAAAATATAACTTGCCAAAACTGACACAAGAATAGAAAATTTGAATTTAAACATTTTTGATTGAGTGCATAGTCTGAAGACACTCAGAAGTCTTCCTCAGTAAATTCAACTCAGTGTCTAGGAAGTAATAGGACCAATCTTACACTGAATTGCACAATGTGGAGGCCAGATCTGGCAAGGGCAGCACAAGTTGGAAAATCTGCCAGCCAATTTGTGGACTTATGCCAAAATTCCTACACAAATTATTAATAAATCCAATGATACATAAAAAGATAAGCTATCATAGCCAGGAGGCAGGGGTTATTCCAAAGTATAATGTTGGTTCTGCATTCAAAATCAATCAGCATAGGAATCATCCAGATCTATTGTGAAAGAATAAAAATGAGGATAGGGCAAAGAAATAAAATAAAAATGCCAAAAGGAGCTCTGCAAGAGCTGTTCACCATGGTATCCAGAAACACAGGAAACATGTGTTACCACGCCAACCAGGCCATGTGGCTGCAGCTATGTTTTGGGACCATCTGCTAATGCCTTCCTTGGCTGTGGAAAGTGAGTGAGGCCTAGGAAGATTCCCTGCAGCTTCCAGAATGTGCACCGTCAGGGCTCCATTCTCTTCGTGGTTGACGCAAAGCATCCCTGCTCCATAGGCTTGCCTTGAGAGATTAAGGAGCCATTAGGGCCTGGACAAGATGGTGGTTCTCAATAAGAAGCCATGACCTTAGCATGCTCACCTGAGAGGTGAGGGCTGGCTGCCCCGATGCTTGAATGCTCTTTCCAGCCTCTCCTGGGTTACCCTGGGATTCCCACCAGGCAAGTACAACTTCGGGGACATCCTCTCCAGCTCTGTGTGGCCATCCACTGCTGGCTCGTCTCCTGAAAGACCTCTGGGTAGTGCTCTGCCTCGTGGGGGAAGCCCTTTGCTGGGCAGGTGGGAAGGGCTGCTGGGGGTGGTTTTCTGCCTTTCCTTGGATGATTCGCTAAGCTGGCCCAGAAGGCTTCTGGAGATGGAGCCATTACTGGAAGTAGGGTCCACCTCTGGGGCTAAACATGCTGGGGTGCCACCAGAGAGGTCAGGCACCATGGGGCTTTCCTCCTCCTGGGGTTGAGTCTTGCTGCTTGAGGTCAGGGACCGTCTCAGAGAGCGTTTACGGAAAGAGTCCTGTGGGGGCCAAGACAGAAATAGTGAGGATCCCCTTCTAGGAAAGCTGGAGAAATGTATTATTCATTTGTCCATGCTGACCCCTCCATAGGAACATCTGTTCCCATCCCCAACTCTTTCCCTTTAAATCCTACCTATTCTATGGGGAGCCACTCAAATGCTACCAACACTGATGCTCTGGTTGATGTGTACCCACCCCCGGAGCACCCACAACTTCTCACAGCCCTGCCCAGAGGAAGTGCAGATGGTAGAGGAAGTACTGCTCCAGATTCGAAGTCCTGTATCTCCCTACCAGCTGGGTCATCTGTGGCAGCTATTTAAATTCTTTGCCCCTCACGTCCTCACCTGGTAATGAAACCAGTTCACAGTCACCTGCCATTTCTAAACACCCAAACCTGGGGGGAGAAATTCCCTTTGGACTCCTGTGGTAAATCCTTTTCAACTGTGGTGAGATTTCTTCCAGTCTTTATAAAACATGACTATCTTCACGTTTATGTTTTGCTTATGGGAGATTACCACAAACCCTGCTACAAGCATTATGTGGTTTATGCACTCTACTTATATACTGAAGTCAAAGTACCTCCAAAATACATCTGGCCCAAAAGGGAATGAGGAGCCTGTGGTATTTACTTCCCACAAATTCATAGTGAGGCATTAGCCAGGCACACCACAGCTGTCAACAAACAGTCCCTGCTCCCACTTACTTGCCCCATTTTCATTTCCATATGGCCCCACCCCACCCACGGTAGCCCATGGATGGCAGAAGCCATTCTTCACTCATCTCTAGTGCCCACAGCACTACCTCCAGGTCAGTGGCCTATACTTTATAAGCAGTCAAGATTTGTTTAGTTTTCGAAATGCAAGAATTCCAAAGGAGCCAACTGGAATGCTCTCTTCCAAACAATGACTAATTGAAGAAATGGGAACTCCTATTACTACGCCACAGGGGACAGGGAAGAGTAGGACAACAATAAAACCTATTGAGCTTCTGGTTTAAATTTCAGGACCATTCAGCTTTTCCGGTAATATCACAGAGCTGAATGGAAGCCTAGGATGGAATAAGGAGAGCTAACTGTATAATGTTCTGGCTTACTGGAAATTACTAGGCACTGTGAACCTACTCCAAAAGCTGCCAAGGGTATCCCCTGCCCAGAGCAAGGAAGACATTATTCACCATTGTACAGAGCTGATCAAGTGGTGAAAACTGATAAAATCCTAGCAAACTTTGGCTCCTTTCTCTTGAGCAACCAATAGATATGGCCAAAGCACAAAATACCTTCCAGAAAATCTAGGCAAAGTCTACAGAAAGCCATCCTTCAATGTCTTTCACAGGATTCAGATGCCACAGGGGAAAACTTTAGCTCCCTACTCATCAACAAGAGAAGTTTGCAGCAACACCTTTGGTAGTAAGGTAAGTTCACACCATCTCCTCACACCACAGTTATGAAGGCATTCTCAACTGCACCTGCTGAATGATAAGAATGTCATGATAAGACAGGATCCTGGTGTTCATCTGGTCCACCAGTTCACAAAGTGTGGTCCAACAACCCATGGGGTTCCTGTATACTTAGAGAACTACAAACTATTTTCAAAGTCATTGCTATGGTTCAGATATGATTTGAGTATGTCCCTAAAAGGTTCACATGCTGGAAGCTTAGTGTCCACTATGGCAGTGTTAAGGCAATGAAACCTTCAATAGGTGCAGCCCAGCAGAAAGCATATAGGTCATGGAGACACCGTCTTTGAAAAGGATCAATGCAGGTCTTATTGGACTGGGTTAGTCCCACAAAAACAGGTTGTTATAAGGAGTCGGCACCTCCTTTGAGTCCTTCTTCTGTTCACACAGCCTGGCCCTCATGCAGTACTCCTGTCATGATGCCATCATATTGTGATAAAGCCAGAAGGCCCTCACAAGAGGCTAAGAAGATGGGGCTTCCACTCTGAGACTTTCAGCCTTCAAATGAGCTGACCAATCCTTTTTTATACATTACCCAGAATTAGGTATTTTGTTATTGCAACAGTAAAACCAACTGAATCAGTAATAATATAACACAATTTGCCTTTTTTATGATGTTTGCTTTCTGTGCAAAGCAATAGTGGAGGAAACTATTGGCTCTGAATATGAATCAAGGCAATGAAACTGTTATGGCTTATATCTAGATGTTCCTTCAAAGCGTCATGTGGTCATAAGTGGGGCTTTTAGAGGTGGTTCAATCCAGGGTGTGTGATGCCAGGGTTGTGCTAGGATTAAGGCTGCCCCAGAGCCAGGGATTTAGCTCAGTGGTTCCGCCACCTACCTTGCAAGCACATGGACCTGTTCGATCCCCGGTACCAAAAAAAAAAAAAA